GCGGGGCTTTCCCTGGCGTTTCCGGCGATGTTCCTGGCACTGCACGTGTATGTGATGTGTGTGATGTGTGTGGTGTGCATGTCGAGGTAGTATGTGCATGATGTGCGCGTGTGTTTACACATGTGTCAGTACGCGTATATGCATATGCTTCTGAGTTGTCGCAGGGACCCGCGCGTAACAACATCAGACGAACATATTATGTAAATGCCAACGTATGTATGTGAATACGTATATGTACACAAATATGTATATGCATGGGTGGTGAACATGTATATGATGCATACACTGCTGCCGCGTGCAAATACTGCATGTACTTCAGTCAGATATCAAATATGACTTGATCCTTTCTTCCTGCTCCTGCTCCTCTCTCTTCCTGGCCCCTCCCCCTGCTCCTCCTCCTCATTTAATTGAATATGCGCTTGCCTTGGACAAGCGCATCCCCCTGCCTGTGGATGATGCCCCCCATGGGGCCCGCCCTTTTTTTCTGTGTGTTCACGCATTATAAGCCCCCTGGGGCCGCGAGGGATATAAGCCCACGCATCATGCATTTCACCAGCGCGGTGTTGCTGAAGCCCGCGGATGGGGAGTGCGAGAAGATGATTCTTCACGCGTCGTCTTGTTTGCCTTTGAACTCGGTACTGTTTCTTGCCCCTAGCCTTCGGGTATAAAAGCATGGTAGTCGTCTCATCGTCAGGGGGAGGCCCCTCTCGTCCCACCACCCCTTTCCTCCTCACTCCAGTGGGGGGAGCAGCAACAGCAGCAGCAGCAGCAGGCGGAGGCCGGCCAGACCACCCTCCACTGAGCCCTGCAGGCCCGAGACGCCGTCCCACCTCAAGCCTTCCTGTCCGCCCTGCCTGGCCCATCGCGGGAAGGGCACCCGCAGCGGTCGCCGCGGCTGCAGCGCATATTAGCCCCGCTGTAGCTGTTCCAATAGAACCTCATAGAAGTGAAACTTACCCCCAGCAGGGGGGGCGGGGCGGGGGCGGGATGATGGGCTCCGTCGTCGTCCGTCCCGCCCCCATCCCATCCCCCTGCCTGGGGAAATTTTCACCTCTGAACCGGCAGAGCTCCGTCTTCTGCATGTGAGCCATGGTGGAGGATGCCCCCCCGCCTGCAGCTACCCCACCAAGCCTCGGGCAGGCTCAGGGGGGCTCGCGCCAGGGGCAGCTTTGTCGGCGCGCGCTGCACTGGAGGTGGTGGACGAGGAGATGGAGGAGGAGGAGGGAGAGGAGGAGGAGGAAGGAGGAGAAGGTTGAAGAGGAGGAGGAGGAAGGGAAGGGAACAGGGAGGAGCAGGGGGAGGAAGGAGAGGGAGGGGGATGGGGGAGGAGGCGGAGGAGAACGGGGAGGAGGAGGACGAGTAGGAGGAGGAGGATGGGGGAGGACGGAGGGAGGAGGGAGAGGAGGAAAAGGGGGAGGAAGGAGAGGAGGAGGAAAAGGGGGGGAGGGAGGAGGAGGTGGAGGAAGAAGTGGAGGAGGTCGAGGATGGGGGGGTAGAAGGAAGAAGAGGAGCACTGTTCGGATCGTGATGCAGAGCAAAAAAACAAATAATGAGGAACACGATCCGGTGATCATGATGCTGTGGTGATGATGGCGATGGTGACGAAAAGAAGGCGATGCGGAAAGCAACGGCGGCCTGTCATGGTGGGGGCAACAGCGGTTGCAATAATGCTGATGCCGACGCAGCAAAGGATTATTAATCATTATGCGGCAGTGGCGATGAGGAAGAAGCAGGGGGGAGGAAGGGGGAGGAGGAGGGGGGAGAGCGACGAGAGGTGGATGATTATTGTGATGATGATGGCGACGATAGCGATGAGCGGGGAGGGTGATGGCGATGGCGATGGCGATGGGTGCGATGACGATGGCGGTGACCAGGGGGAGGGGGAGGAGGAGGCGAGGAGGAGTCGGAGGAGTGGGGGGAGGAGGAGGCTGAGGAGGAGGGCGGTTGTGGGCGAGGAGCCCATGAATGTCGGAGTCTCTGCGAAGGTCGCGGCGGAGGGCGAGGGCTCCATGGATGGGCCAGGGCCCCATGGTCCAGGACGACCTGATGGGTTGCTTGGTATGTGGCGATGCCTGCTGTGGCGAGGGCCCTATGGACGGACGTGCCGTATGCTCGTGGGCTTGCCACCCACATAGCCCCCCCCTGGCGTCGTCGACCCCCCCCTTCGCAAATATTATAGCCCCCAACGAGATGCCCCCCCTTTCCGCCGCCGCCGCTGCACCCCTTACGCCCGCTGCTGCTGCTGCTGGTTGCATCTAGTGGCTCAAGCTGCTGGCCTGACGCACGCCAGGCGCTAACATACTGGGCGCTACAACTAGGCGCTAAACGATGTGCTGGGCGGGCTGCTGCCGCTGGAACTGCTGGTGGGGGGCTAATAATGCGAAGCGCATCAGCAACGACGAGGCTACTGCCATCACTTGGCAGTTCGCTGAAAGCCGCTGGGGCTGTGAGGATTCCTGGGTGGATGGCGCTTGGGTGGATTTCTGGGGCTACCACTCCAAGGCTACTGAGGCCGCCTACCAGTCCGGAGCTAAGTGGTTTCAGTTTCAGACCGACTACTACTTCGACCACGACGTCACCGTGGTTTTCGGCACAGGGGGCTACGACGGCGACGAGCATTACCAGTACTCTAGTAATGGGACCTACCGGCGCGTGCGCAGGGTGAAGATCCTCATGCAGTGAGTGAGGAGCGGGGCTACTAGGTACGTAGTAAGTCGCCAGCAGCAGCGCGGGGCTAGGATATGATGAGGAGGCGGGGCTAGATGAGGACGCAGTGCAGCAGCCCAGACAGAGCCCATGACAGACCTGGTTAGATGTCGAGAAGAAAAAAGAAGAGCGGAAGATATGGGAAGGAGGGAGAAGAAGGGGGTGTCGGGATGATGGTGGCGGTGATGATGATGATGACGACGAAGACGACGATGGCGAGGGGGGCGATGGGACTGTGTGAGGGAGAGAGCGAGTGTGGGCACCCATGGGCGAGGTGGAGGAGGAGGAGGGCCTAGGAGGGCGAGGGCGACTCTAGGGCGAGGAGGGCCTAGCTAGGAGGGCCCATGGGCGAGGTGGAGGAGGGCCTGGAGGAGGGCCTGGAGGAGGGCCTAGGAGGGCAGTACCACCTCTGGCGAGGACGACGCGCGAGGATTTTATTATCAGTTATGAACCTTAATTCCTGGGTGCCAGATGCTGGTGGGCTAGGTGCCAGATAGCGCGGTTAGACAATGATTGATCCTATTAGTAGGAAGGCGAAGCCTTTCGGATAATGGGCGATCTAGAGACGCAGATGCTTCGCTCATCAGGGACACAAGCAGCACTGCCAGTGCCTCCTGTGCTGGCATTGGTCCGGCCCGGCTTCGTCGGCGCCTACTGTGCCGTTGGGTCGGAGGTCACGTGGCCGAGTGCTTGCCCTCGGGTGGCAGGGCGCCGTGCAAGGCGCGCTGCGTCGCCAGGCGCCGCACAGGGCGCAACGCTTCGCATTTGCTTGCCGTTTCGTGGCAGGGCGCCACACACGGCGCAAACCGCGCCACTGAACGCGCGATCGCTCTCCCGCCCTTTCCGCCTCGCGCCGATACGCGTGCGCAAATGTGGCGAGGGATTCCTCTATGGCTTGCGTTCGGCTGTTTCTACCTCAGTTCCCGCTTCCCGAAGCGACGGCCAGCACGGAAGTTACGGGGCGGACTCACCGGGTCGTCTCCTGGAGGTTCCTTCCCTGGTGGACTGGGGGTACATTCGCCTCTTTGGTGCTAGGGAAGAAAAGCATCGGCCCACGTCGTGAGATACTTTGGCTTCTAAGAATATGTCGCTCTAGGCCTCTAGGAATGCCGGGACGGTCGGTCTCTGCTCAAAAGATTGGGGGGCTGGCATTGGGGGGCCCAGAGATCCAGAGCATCGAGAAAAATCAAGACGGAGGTGTTCCGCAGTTTTCGGCCTCTCCAGGGGACCTCGCCGGGCCCCAGGACCGCCAAACATCGGCCCAGGATGAAAAACGGATCTCGGGGAATGGGTCGAGACGGGGACCGCATATTGATTTGGAATCGGCGATACATCGCCGATAGATTGGCGACAGGCCTCCGATCGGGAGTCCGCACCTCCTTGGGCATGTTCGGGCCGTCGGGCCCCTATCGGCGATCCATGGGCGAGTGGGGGTCGATGCGCCGCACCCTGTGCCAGTCCCCCCCTCTGGCTGCCCCTCACAAGCAAGCCGGTTTTCCCCCGAAGGAGGAAGCAGCTGCACAGCGCGCGCAAATTTTTGGGAGCTCCGCGCGAGCTTCTGTTGGCTCCGCGCGGGGCCCCCCCCGCCCTGGAGGCGCGGGGGGCCCAGCGCACCCAGAGCTCCGATGTCGCGATCTGTTCCAAGCGCGGTCCCCAAAAGTATCGACTCATCCCCCAGGGCCCGGTTCTCAGCCTGAGTCGTTTTTTGACGGTCCCTGGGCCCGGTGAGGGCCTCCAGGGTCCGAAAACGGCACAAGAACCTCGCGGCGTGACTTGTTTCTTGCGCGAGGGGGTCTGGGGAGGCGCGGGGGGCCCAGCGCAGGCCCAGCGTTTTTCGCGCGGAGCTCCGGGAGTTTCTGTTTGTGCCGCTCTCTTCCTCCTTCGGCCTATCCCACTCGAGGAGTGTACCTTCCGCGCCGCGCGGCCTCGCGCGGTGGCCGCCGCGCTGCTGGCCTGGGAGCGCGGCGTGCCAGTGGCGCTGCTGCGCCACGGCGCCGCCTCGGGCGAGGATCGGCTGATGGGCCCACGTTCCACCACCACTACCGCATGTAGGAGAGGGAGGAGGAGGAGGAGGAGGAGGAGGAGGAGGAGGAGGAGGAGGAGGAGGAGGAGGAGGAGGAGGAGGAGGAGGAGGAGGTACGAGGAGGAGGAGGAGGAGGAGGAGGAGGAGGAGTACGAGGAGGAGGAGGAGGAGGGAGGAGCAGGAGGAGGAGGAGCAGGAGGAGGAGGAGGAACTCCTCACCCTCCCTTCTCCCCCTTCCTACATAAGGTAGCGGTGGTGGAATATTTGCCCATTATCGGCGCCTCGGCACCGCGGCGCGCGTGGAGGGCGTGTCGGCCGAGCCGGGCGGCGGGGGCGCGGCCGAGGTGCGCACGGTGGGGCTGTGGCCCTGCCGCGTCCTGGGCAGCGGCACCGCCCCACACGGGCCCGCGGCGGCGGGGAGCGCGGCGGTCGTGGTCCGCACGGCCGCGGTGGCATGGGTGGAGGACCCCTCCTCCTCCTCCTCTTGCTCCTCCTCCTCCTCCTCCTCCTGCTGCTGCTCCTCATCCTCCTGCTCCTCCTCCTCCAGAGATCCAAGGCAGTTTGAGAGAGTCGGGACAGAGGTGTGTCGCCGTCACAGAGACCCAGCGTCATGGAAAAAACACGACGGGAGGCTTTTCGCTATTTTCAGCCTGTGGGGGCCCTCACTGGGCCCCAGGACCGTCAAAAAGAGCAGTCGTCGATACTTCTGGGGACCGCGTATTGAAAAATCACGACGTCGGTTCTCTTGGGCTGTCGGCCTCTTGGGGCCCTAGCTAGGCCCCGGGGCCGTCAAGAAACGACTCGGGGTGAGAGGCCGGTCCCGGGGAGAGGGAGACTTTCGGGAACCCCGTATCTCGGGGGCGGCTAAAAGGGGGTGATGACTAGGGTGAAGTCGGGCATGTCCCTCTGGGGGTGATTTCCGACTATTGACTATGTTTGAATATGTTTTGGCTTGTTTTCATGTTCGTCTGCCTGCAGGAGGAAATGCCCGACCTAAGACTAGCGGGGTTGGATGCCATGAGTGGGGCCATGCTATCTCGCCATATTTCATGGCGCCTCTTCTTGTTTGGATGCGTCCCATGCCCCCCCCCTGGGCCGCGCTCGTGCCTCGGGCCATGATTTGCAAACCATCCCCCTTCTCGACGCCCTTCTCTTGGACGCTCCCGACCGTCGTGAAGATAGCCAGGATCTCAGGGGTGGAGGCGTGGCGATACCCAAATGCACCCATATTACCACTCCCCGGGCCACTCCCAGGGGGCGTCCTGACCAGGATGTCGAGGCGAATCCAGCTCGGGAGTCCCCAAACGGGGCGGTGACCATACCGTGCGGTGAGTCGGTGGGGATTCGGGGTCACCGCACGGTTTTGGGACTCGAGTTTCTCTCCGAGGATGTCTCGGGCGACAGGGGCCGCCAGGGTCCCAAGACCGTGCGGTGACGGACCGTGCGGTGAGGTTTCTTGGGGTTCCGAGGTCACCGCACCGTCTGTCACCGCACCGTTTCGGGACGCCGAACCAGCGGTGGCGACGAGGGCCTCCCGGGAGGCCGACGAACAAGAGGACCACGGGCGAAGGGTAGAGAGAGGGATCATTGCGTCCTCCTCCTGCGAAGGAGGCCACGCCTGGCACCGGGGCGCGCGCGCTGGCTGCCCGCGTGCGTGGGCTGCTGGGCGGTTCGCTCCGTGGGCGCGAGGGCGCGGGCGCGCCGGGGGACCCGCTCTGATGCGCCGATCCTCCACCACCACCACCACCATAGGTAGGAGAGGGAGGAGGAGGAGGAGGAGGAGGAGGAGGAGGAGGAGGAGGAGGAGGAGGAGGAAGAGGAGGAGGAGGAGGAGGAGGAGGAGGAGGAGGAGGAGGAGGAGGAGCTCCCCATCCTGCCTCTCGCCCTCATCCTATGGTAGCGGTGGTGGAAAATCGGCGCATCACGCTCGCGCTCTCGTGGTGGGCCGCCGCGCGGCTGCCGGTGCCGGCGGGCGAGCGCTGGGGGCTGCTGCGGGTGCGCGGCGCGGAGGATCGGCTCTCGGTGTGCGCCGCGGTGCTGTCACTCGAAGAAGGTCAACCCAGAGATCCGGCGTATGGAAAAAATCCAGATGGAGGTTTTCCATTATTTCCGGCCTCTAGGCCATCGCCGGGTCCTGCGGACCGTCACTTAAGAACAACGGCTCAGGATGGAACACAGGTCCTGGGGAATGGATCGAGACTTCCGGGGACCGCGCATCGAAAAAATCACGACGGCGGATCTCCGGGGTGCTGTCCCTCATATCCCCATGCCGGTACCCTCGCCTTGTTATCCCCTTTCTTTGAGCATCCCGTGGGAGGCCCTCGTCGCTACCGCCGGATTCGCCGCGAGATGCTGGTCCGAACGCCCCCCGGGAGAGGTCCGGGGAGTTTCGGAATCGGTACCTTTTGGTTTCCCCAGTGCCCCAGTTGCGGTGTCGGTACCTTCGCCCGCGCTGCCCTCGTCGGGCGGTGCCGGTGCCTCTTGGTTTCCTTACAGGAGCGGCTCTCGGTGTGCGCCGCGGTGCTGTCCAGGGCGGCCGGGGGCAGCGGCGGCGCACGCCGCGCGCGGCTCTGACCGGGGCGCGGCCAACAATGAGGGCACGATTTTCGATGTTCCACCACCACTATCGTAGGCTGGGGACGGGGGGGGGAAGGCAGGATTGGGAGGCCCTCCTCCTCCTCCTCCTCCTCCTCCTCCTCCTCCTCCTCCTCCTCCTCCTCCTCACCCTCTTCCTCCACCTCCACCTCGTCGTCCTCCTCCTACTCCTCCTCCTCGTCCTCCTCGTCCTCCTCCTCCTCCTCCTCCTCCTCCTCCTCCTCCTCCTGCTGCCCCTCAAGGTGGCGCAAGTCTTCCTCCGTAGCGAGGCCACCTTTCAATATGCAACGCAGCCCCACACACTTCGTTTACCCGCATCTGTAAACGTCACGGACAGATCGGGCTAATCACAGCCGGCGCGTGACCGCTTCCATGTATGTTACGCGTTATGCATTGGAATATTTTGTCGATCGTTTCAGCTGATCGCCACGAGGATTTCGTGAAGGTTGCAGGTTCTAGCTTTCAGGTGTGCGTACTTGCCGGCACGCAGATCAGCGCAGCGCACAACTGAGTCGTTGAGAAGCGTAAGGTTGAAGGTTCGTTGTTGCTGCACGCGGGCTGGCCTCGAGGAGTGTACGCCAACACGTCGGCTGGCATCTCGATCTGTTTAGGCATCCGCTCTCGAGGATCTCGTGTTGTTCGACAGTGGCATGTTGGTGCAGAGCTAGCAGGCTGAGGGTTCGGGACCCGTCTCAAGCGCAAAGGCACGGACATAGCTGTTTTCGGGCTCTACGTTCTACTTCGGCCGCGGGGGGTGCAAGGTCGGCCAAGCTATTGTGCGACGGCCTCACGTTGAGCCACCTAGTTACGTAAGATGTCTGCTGATTTGCATGGCCGTGCGCGTGTGTTCCCTCTCATATTCTGGATATGAATAATGTGATTGGGATTTCTCCGGCCAACGATCGTTGGGAGTTTAACGGTTCCACGGTCGTTTCAGAGGCTCTCGCGTTTCGTGAAAATCTTGAAGGGAGTGCTGGTCAGCTTGTTCAAGAGGTAATGGAGGAGAACGGGATGGTGCTCTTGGGCCTTCGCAGCGTCGTCGAACCGATTTGGTACGGCAGGGATGGAGTTTCGAGCATAGTTCTATATTTGGCCCTGCTGCTGCGCTAAGCCTGGTCAGGTCAGGTGGCCCTTGGAGGGCCTTATTCGAAAGCGTCAGCTCATCCCTTCCCGGCATCCCTTGGACCCCATTCCGGTTCACGGGGACTTCAGAAGGGAACGCGCCGAGCCCAACGAGCAGCAGCTGACTAGGATTTTCAGGAACTTTGAGGCTATGCGCTCTCGCGAAGCTCGTCGGAAGTTCATTGCACCTGCAGGCCCTGTTCTTATCAGTAGAGAGGACGAGCTGCACGGCTACCTGGAGGCCGACAACCCCGCTGCTTATTTAAGTTGCTTGAATGCCGCGCTGAGGGATTCCGCAAAGGAGCTGTTTGGCGCCGCGATATATGCGTCCTCTCCTGCTTATCGGCGCCGGGCTGATGAGCGCGTTGAATTGCTTCTTGCGTGTCTCCGTATGAGGTCAACCCTACAAGATGCTAGCACGGGGGAGCAGGCGGAGACCATCAAGCAAGCACTGACAGATAGCAGCAAAGCCTGTGCCAAGCTACGTCAGGCGCATTATCCAGAATGGAGGGGGGAGGCCACGACAGATTTGGAGGAGGCTTGGCGTGTTAGGAACCATAAGAAAGCTCACCGTCTGATTCGTGTACTGGCATCTCGTGGAACAGGCTCCAGAGGCAGGTCAGATCGGCACCTTCAAAGCGCTGCCCTGACTTCTGGTAATTGGTTGAGTGTCTGGAAGCTGGCGGGACCTAGATAGGGGCATGGAGGCGGAGGAGATCCTGGAGGAAGAGGAACGCGAGGAGGACGGCAAGGGCGGCTACAGCGGAGCCTACAGCGTCGAGGCACTCACAGACATGAGACATATAGGTAAGTATCTGAGAAAGGCCCCCAAGAGGCGATCGCGTCCACCATGGTCGCTTCAAGGTTAGCTCTGGGGAATTGCTATCGATCATGAGTTTGGGCTTGCCCCAGGTCGACTGGGTCTCGGGGCAGATAAAAGAATGTGACTCTGCAGTTTTTATACGTGGCCCTGGAGAATGGTTTGCCGCGCGTTAGGTTTGCCAGTCGCTTCCCGCGGCTTTGGAACGTAAGTTTCGGCTGCTGTCGGCCAGAATCGACGGTGCCTGGACCCGAGGGGATGCGGGTGATTCACCTGCCCGGCTCTTCTCGGCAAAGCTAGGCTAGCTGGAGCGATTTCTCGAATGCGCCCGCTTCTCTTGGGACCGTCGGGCTACGGATTCTCCCGGGGCCGTCAAAAAGAAGGGGCTACGTTAGTGATTCGGGCTGTGCCCCAGATGCTTCGCAACGCAGGTTATTCCGCCAGCTGGTCCAACGAGGACCATAGCAGCGCGCCCCGGTCCACTTGCTGGTAGGCGTTAGAGGTTGCGAGCACTCGTTTGCTTGAGCCAGAGGGCCAGCCTTTTGGATTTTATCGCGCGCAATCAGCTGTGATCCAATTGCCAGCGCGTGACCGACCTCGCGAAGCCCACGTGCGGGGCGTTGATGGGCGATCCCAACGCAGTGGAAAGCATTGGCCGCGCTTGTGCTGCCCCGGTTGATGATTGGAGCGAACGTCTGTTGAGCGCCGTGGATCCAGGGAGTCTTCTTACAGCCGCGCGCCCTGTCACGCATGGGCACTTGGACTTGAGTCTGACGAAGTTTGCTGACGATTCAACCAAGTTGCACAGAGGAGGTGGTCCCGGCTCTCCTTTGCTCGACGCGGGGTTGGCAGAAATCAGCAGCATAGCGAACATCCAAATGAGTTATCGAACGAGCACTTAGCCGCTGGGGGCGCAGAATGCCACGACGCGAAACGCTATCATTTGCTCGACGGGTAGTGGGTCTGTGGCTGCCGACCGACGCTCACGCAAAGATGGGGGCGAGCTCTTTCCAGGAGGTATTTGCCCTGCCACGCGAGTTCTAGGATGTCAAATTCATAGCCCTGGAGCTCTGGCATTTGCGATTACCAAACGAATGGCGGCCATCAAGTCCTCCTTTCATTCCCTTGGGAGGTTCTCTGGTCTACTCCTGGAACAGCACATCGGCTTGCGCGTTCTCGTTTGATGGGGGGTTCAAAGCGCCGGCACATCTAACTTAGAAGCCCATCTCGTCGCGGAGCGCCAGTGCACCAAGCTCGATTCGGTCATATCTCGGCATTGTCGCGCAGCGATGCATGGAGCTAGTTTCGAAGGTGAGCGACGCGCACGCAGCTCATCGAATGCGAAGGTGCTCGAGCCGCGGTGCGTGGCCCCCTCGTTCACCGAGCTCAGGATTTGCAGGCTTGGATGGCTTGCTCAATAGGTTCAGTTCCCCAGGCGGAACTTGCAGATTTTGGCTGCGACGTTCGGCGCCTTGCCCGCGGGCGAGCGGCCGCAATTTGATGGCATGGGGCGCTTGACTGCACATGCCAACCAGTGTAGGCGCTGGAGTCTCTCGAGGAAGGTGACGCACTTCTCGCGCGTCTCCAGGGGTCATTCCTCGCTCCCTTCTGGGATAAAACGTTGGGACGTGCCTTCTGCATGTTTGATTGGCTTCGCCCAGCTGCGCCGTCAGCGAAGCGCGGCAGCTATCCCACCTCCCGAATGCGAGCCCCCCTTGGGTCAGGTTCTCGAGCAGGAGGCAGCGGAGGGTGGAGCGGTTAGATGGGCGCGCGTGGTCTACGAGGGGGGGGGGGGGGGGGGGGGGGGCGAGGGCGACTCGACGACGAGGAGGAGGTCGACGCGACGCGAAATTAAATAATAAAAAGTAGGCTCTCAATCATCTTAGATTCCACCGCCATCTTCGATCATGGGGCCACGCACTGTGCACTACCAATCAGCGTCCTAGATGTTTGGACTTGTTTTCCAGCCGTGTGACAGCGGCTCGACACTTGGCAGGGCCCATGGTTCGGGCGCAGCTACGCTGGGGGGGGGGGGGGGGGCGACCAGGGCCACGACAGGGGCCCGAGGGCCTCTCATGCAAAATATGCGGCTACCACGCGTCTGCACCCCCTGATTACCAACGACACGTCTGCCGTTATTTACTTCAAGCGTTGAGGGCGCACGATGGAAAGCAGCGCATTTTTATGGGCGAGCAGCCACCTGCAGCCGATGGCGGAGGCGCAGGAGCTGCCCACGTGGATTGGGAAGCGCAGAGGAAGGGCCCCCCCGCGCTGAAGGAGGCCAGGCGCGGCGGCGACAGCGGAGTCGGCTCGGGGGGCAAGTCGGCGGCAGGGGCAAGGGCGGGGGCGGCCGCGCCAAGAAGCCTGCGCTGGAGGGGCTCGTGGCGATTCTGGCCATGTTGGCGCTAACAGATGAGGCGCAGCTGCGGGCGATGCCTAGGGGGCGAGGGGCGCGCACCTCGCGCCCCTCGACGCCGCAGCGCCCCGGCGCGCGCTCCAGGAGGGGCCAGCTTCAACGCCGAGGCGAGCGAGCGGCGCCAGAAGATCAACGACGCGGCGACGAAGGGCGAGACGCTCGAGCTGTCCGAGATACGCGCCCCCTTCCGCGGACGCTCGCGGCGCTGATCGACGGGCTCTTCTTGGGCAGGGGCGAGGCTTGCGAGACGGGCGGCTTGCTGAAGGCGAGTCACAAGGTGCTGCAGAGCTACTGGGAGCAGAAGGTAGCGACGGCCAAGTCGCCCACGAGATGGCGCGGCATTGCGGGGCCCGCAGGAGAACGCGAAGCAGGCCGGGCAGGTGAATATCCAGTTCCTTTTCGACACCACGACGAGCGACGGGGCGGTCCTCCACAGAGCCATCCGCGAGGCACTCACGGTGCTGGGGGGGGGGGGGGGGAAGACGATGGGCGGGGCTCCCAGAGGCGCCTTTGAGAGGGAGGCTCAGAAGCTGCTCGATCAGGTGAAGTGGGAGGGGAATCGGCTGCGGAAGCTCCTGGTCAGGTTCTTCTTAGAGTGGCTTCTGAGATGGGGTGGGCTCGCGGCCTTCGTGGGCCGTCGCCCACCCGTCCTGTCTGTCTCGTTCGCGACGCGGGTGCTTGTTCAAGTGAGGTTGAGGGCCAGGGTCGTAGTGAAAGCAGTGCTCGCAGTTTTTTTCGGGTGTGGGAACTGATTGGGTCTCCAGTCGCCACGCTCAGATGCTTCTGAATTCGGGGCTGCTGAACGAATTCGTCGGAAGATCGAGCAGGACGTCCTCCCTGACCGACTGCAGCAGATATGGATTACTATGCGCGACGAGGGCCTGCAGGCAGGCGGCGCGGGGGTCACGGACTTCAGCGGGTTCGCGCACGCGGTCGGGCCCCCCGCGCTGCCGCCGCGCGTGCCGCCTGCGGCCGACGAGGCGGAGGTCAGGCTCTGGGGTGACTGGAGCGGCGCGAGCGACGAGCAGCGCGGGAACGTTGCGTTCACCGATGGTTCGGGCTTTGCGAGCAGCATGCCCGAGCTGAGGCGCTGCGGGTGGTCGCTGGTCCAGCTCGGCTCCAAAGGGGCGCCCGTTCGCGCGGCTTTCGGGGCCCTTCCTGGCCGCCTTCCGGGCCGCCTGCAGACGTGGGTCGTGCCGAGCGACGCGCGCTCCCGCAGGTCGCCAAGCTCCTGGGGCGGCAGGCGCGATTCTGACCTGCTCGCGCTGGCCCAGGAGGCTAGCAGCTGGGGGCCAGAGCTGGAGCGAGCCAAGGCGGTGCACGCCACGGCGTGGAGGCACCTGCGGCAGCAGCCATGCCGCCCCGAGGTGTTATGGGCCCCCGCGCACCAGGACGTCGACGGGCACTTGGTGGCGGGGCTTCACCCAGTGCTGCACGCGGGCAACCTGTAGGCGGACTGGTTCGCCAAGCAGGGGGCATTGCAGCACGCGGTGTCCCAGGTGCACGCGGACTTCTACGCCATCGAGGTGCAATGCTTCAAGCAGGTGGCGGACTACATCGGATGGGCCATGCAGCGCTGCCGGGTCATCGGGGACTGGGCCCCCGAGGTGCGCCACGTGCCCGCGGCGCCGCCGCCGCCCGTGCCGAAGCTGACGGCGGTGGAGCGCCCCCTGGCGCGCGCGCAGGGCAAGCGCGGGATGCTGTGCACCGAGCGCGGGCGCCGATCCCGTACTGAGGTAAGCGCGGTGGCGCAACAGTTCATCAGGTCGCGCCGTTTGCCGGCGCCGCTGGCGCGCCCCAAGGCGGCGGCAGAGGTGGCGCATTTCGGCGCGGGGCCATACTGGGTGGGCGACGCTGAGGGCCTGGAGGCCGAGCCGCTGCAGCCGCGCGACGGCGGCAGGCCCTGCAAGTTGGCGCAGAGGCCGAGACCCTGGTTGCATGAGGGTGATGGCGATGGCGCGGCGCTGCACCTCGGGCATCGGCTGCGGCGCGCGGGGCCCGCCATCCTCTGCGAGGTCTGCGCCGCGTGGACGCAGGCCCGAGCGGCGAGGGGGCCGCAGAAGGCGCGCTGCGGGCCGCCCACCGACAAGGGGCACCACCAGCGCACCTACGTCAGCAACCTGGCGGCCAGGAGGGACAGGTTGCCGCGTGGACGCCGTGCGGCGGGCGCACGGAGGAGGCCCAGATGGCGGATGCGCAGGGGACCGCGATGCGCGGGGCCCCCGCAGTGCTGCGAGGCGGGCGCACGGAGAAGCCCCGCTGGCGGACGCGCAGGGGACCGCGACACGCGGGGCTCCTGCACTGCCGAGAGGCGGGCGCGCGGAGGCCAGCCGCCTGCTCGTGGAGGTCGCGGCGCGCCGCAGCGCCTGCGCAGCGCCAGCGCCGCCCTGGCAGGAGCGGCTGGAGGTGCTGCGGCGGCGCGTGGCGACGCGCGAGGCTGGCCTGGCGCGCGTTGCCACTGGTGGGGCTGGCAGTGGTCCCAAGGCGCAGGTCGTGGAGGCGTTGACCGACACGGGGTGCGCTGCTGGTGATCGTGCCGACTCATGGGCGGAGCGGAGGCAGGCCTTGCTGCGGCGGCTCCATGCGCGGGCCGAGCGGCTCTGCGGCAGCGCTGGGGCGGCCCCCGGGGCCGCCCTGCCGCAGCGGCCGCCGCGGCCGCTGGCCCTGGAGCGCAGGCTGGACCGCTGGGGGCGGCGTTGGATCAAGCCGCCGCTCGACGCCGACGGCGCGGCCAGCGACTGGCTCGACCACTGCGTCCCGTACGCGGAGGCGGTCCTCGCCCAGCCCAGGCGGCGGCGTTTCCTCCGGGCGATGGGCAGCACGGCTCGGCAGCTGGCGGAGGTGCGGCGCCGCCGTGCTTGGAGCCGCGGAGCGAGGCTGCGCGGCGCCTACGCCAGGTAGCGCTCGGGCCTCACGTTGAGCCAGCGGTGCGTCACCGACAGTATGCGGAGGTACGAGGTGCGGCGCCTGCGGGCCTGCCGCCCGCGCTGGGCCGGGCTCGGGCGGTGCGCCGCAGGCCGCCGCCTGGGGCGGCGGCGGCGCCTCGCGAGGGCCAGGGCCGCCTCGGCGCGCAGGCGGCGTCGCAGGTGCACGGCGGCGGTGAGGGCAGCGACACGGGCGAGGGCATTGCCTGAGCGCGCCCTGTCGCCGTCCCTCTGCGCGCCCAGCGGCGGCGGCGGCGCGCTGCGCTGGTCGCAGGCCGCATCCCCCAGCCGCGTGGGCGAGGGAGGCTAGGCGGCGGCCTCCAAGACAGCGGCGCGGTCCACCTCGCGCAGGTCGGGCGGCGCCGCGGCCTGGCCATCGACCTCATCCGAGGTCCCCCGAGGCGCTGTTTGCCAGTCAGACGGCGCCCTCAGGCTCCTGACCTCCTGACGTCATCCTCCTCTTCCTCTTGCTCGTCCTCCTCCTCCTCCTTTTCCTCCTCCTCCTCCTTTTTCCTCCTCCTCCTCCTCCTCCTCCTCCCCCTCCTCCTCCTCCTCCTCCTCCTCCTCCTCCTCCTCCTTCTCTTCCTCCTCCTCCTCCTCCTTCTCCTCCTCGTCGCCGTCGTCGGCCTCCTCCTCCGTAGCCATTTTGGCTCAAGTCCGTCCACTCCGTGGGATCTCGGACTTGGGCCGAAATGGATTCCACTGCCGTCTCGCCCAAGGCCTCCTGGCCGAGCGCTGCGCCGCCCGCTGCCGTGGGCCGCGCACTCATATGTCCATGCTCGCGCACGCTCGGGTGATCCCGATCAGGCCGCTGCTGCTGCTGCTCGAGATCTGCGACGGCGTCTACATGCCCCACACGCGGTCGCCAGCCGCACTTCATATTCGTCGATGTCGTGCCTCTCAACGCGGCCTACGTAGTTGTCGGGATGGCGGACGCCTTCATCTTCAGCTCGATCTTCTTCTACGCGACGAACGACGGGCACTGCCAAGCGCCCCGGGGCAACTCTTCCCCCTGGGCGTGTGCATGAGCGACGAGCTGACGAAAGTTGCCCGCTACATCCAGGTACTCCGCGGGCGAGGCGCTCCAGGACACGGAGCTGGCCCACTTCCACATCCTGCCCTTGGTGCTGCTGTTCCTCACGCCCGTTCGCATGTCCCTCAGCTAGGTGTGGCTGGTGACGTCCTACCGCGTGGAGTGGCCGCCGCTGCCCCTAACGGAGCTGGTCCCTTTCCTCCGCTCGCTCGTCAAACCGCACGTCAAGCTCACCAAGCCGCTGAACCCGATGCCGATGGTGTCGCCGACGATCTTCTGCATCTCCCACGCACCGTTCCTGGAGCCGCCACTGGCCGTCTTCCACGAGACGGTGCTGCTCCCGAGGTCCCACGCCACGGTGTTGGACCGCTTCCCCAACTCGTTCCGAAATATGGTTCCTTGCACGCCGCTGCCGTAGGTGGCGCCCGTCCTCGTAGGGCTGCCCTCGCTGCTCTTCGTCCCCTCGACGGTGGCGACCATCTACAAGAAGTCCTCCTGCCTGCACATGTTCGTGATGAACCTCGTGTTGATGCTGCCGCCGACGGTGGCGACCACCAGCCTGCAGAGCTACTGCCTGCACCCGATAATGGTGAGCCTCCTGCTGCCGCTGATGCTGACGTTGGCGACCGTCTGCAAGAAGAACTTCTGCACGTACCCGCTCGTGGTGAGCCTGGCGCTGCCGCTGCCGCCGACGGTGGCGACCATCTGCCTCAAGAGCTTCTGCCTGAACTCGTTCGTGATGAGCTTCTTGCTGCCGCCGCCGCTGGTGGCAACCATCTGCATCAAGAACTTCTCCCTGAACCCGCTCGCGACGCGCCTCGTGTTCACGCCGCCGCCGCTGGTCTCGACCATCTGCGTCAAGAACCTCTGCATGAACCTGATCGTGATTACCCTCGTGCTGCCGATGCCCCTGACGGTGGCGACCATCTGCATGAAGAGCTTCGACCTGAACCTGCTCGTGCCGAGCCTTGTGCTGCGCCGCCGCCGGTGGCGATCTGCTTCCTGTTGTCGCTGAGCGCCGCCTGGTCCACCTTCCGGCCGACACGTGCCAGATCGTTTCGCATACCACGTACCCGGAGGCCGAGAAGATCTTGCCGCACGTACCCGCCTGGGCTCGAGTGGTGGACGCGTTCATCCACCAGTTGCTACCTGGTACCTCAAGATAGCGATTCCGACGCCGCTTGGAGTGGCGACCTTCCCGAACAAGACCGCCCTGACACCGAGTGTGGAGCCGCCGCTCTGAGTGGCGACCTTCCCGACCAAGATCGTCCTGACACCGACCGTGGAGCCGCCGATGCTGCTCGCCCTGATTGCCCTTTTCCTGGAGCCCAGTACCTGCGCCGCTCGGACCTCATTCAGCTCCGATGCTGCAGCTCGTCACTTGAGGGTCTTGCAGACGAGTTGGTATGCACCGCCGTGGAGCCTCAGCATGATGATCTTGCAGTCTCGCCGCTCGGAGTGGCGTCTGAGGCCCCCGTCCGTCAATGTAGCTTTTTGCCCCCCGCCTGGCACGCCCCATCCTGTGCTCCTCTGTCGCCTGTGCTTCCTCCCATCCCTGCTTTTCCGCTTCCCACATGCACGAATCACCACCACTACGAGATACGAGCCGCCGCACTCGCTGCAATGCGCATCTAGTGCTCAGGTCACCACAAACCGCCTCAGGTTACGTGCGCTCCTCCTCCTCCTCCTCCTCCTCCTCCTCCTCCTCCTCCTCCTCCTCCTCCTCCTCCTCCTACCTATAGTTGTGGTGGTGGAGAACCGGTCCATCAAGCAATGTCGCCGCCGCGCGCGGGGGTGCAGAGAGGTCCTGATGTTTCTGCTGTTCGTGTTCCTGTTCCCGGCTCCTCCTCTGCGGCTGCGCCTGCTCTATTCCTCGTTTTTTGGGGGGCTGCCATTGGGGGCGGGCACCTGCCGTTGAGCCCGAGCGCGGCGCGTGGGAAGGACACCGCGGCAGCGATCCCTGTGATGTGTTGTTCTGTCATCCTCTTCCTCCCTCCTCTTCCTAGCCACATAAATCAAACCTGATACTCCGTCCCGCAGCTCAGGGAGACTGCGGATCCTATGGTCATAGTTGTTGTGTTTGTTTTGCTTTATTGGTCTTGATGTGCTTGCTTTGCTTGCCTCCTCCTCCTCCGTCTCCGCCTCCTCCGCCTCCTATCCTTCCTCCTTCTCCTCATTTTCCTCCTCGTCGTCCTCCTTTTCCTCCTCCTCCGCCTCCTCCTCCTCCTGCTCCTCCTCCTCCTGCTCCTCCTCCTCCTCCTGCTGCTTCTCCTCCTCCTCCTCCTCCTCGTCCTCCTCCCCCTCCCACCCCTCCTCTTCCTTCTCCTGATCCTCCTCCTCATCCTGGCTCCTCGTCCTCCTTGTCCTCCTTTTCGTCCTCCTCCTCCTCTCCTCCTCCTCCTCCTCCTCCTCGTCCTCCCCTCTTCCTCTCCTCTCTCTCCTCCCCTCCTCCTCCTCCCTCCCTCCTCCTCCTCTCCTCCTCATCCTCATCTTCATCCTCATCCTTGCTCTCGTCCTCCTATTCTCCTTTCCTCCTCCCTCCCTCCTCCTCCTCCCTCCTCCTCCCCCCTATCCCCTCCGCATTCCTCCTCCTCCTCCTCCTCCTCCTCCTCCTCCTCTCTCCTCTCCTCCCTCCTCCTCCCTCCTCCTCCGCCTCTCTCCATTCTCCTCCTCCTCTCCCACCTCCTCCTCCTCTCTCCTCCTACCTCCTCCTCCTCCTTTTCCTCCTCCTCCTCTCCTCCTCCTTTTTCCTCCTCCGCCTCCTCCTCCTCCTCCTCCTCCTCCTCCGCCTCCTCCTCCTTTCTCCTCTCCTCCTCCTCCTCCTCACTCCCCCCCTCTCCCCCCTCCCCCTCCCCCCCTTTTTTTTCCCCCCTTCCCACCCACCCTCCTTTCCTTTCCACCTCCTCATCCTTGCTCCTCCTGCTCCTCCTCCTTTTCCTCCTCCTCCTCCTCCTCCTTCTTCTCCTCCTCCTCCTCCTCCTCCTCCTCTTGCCCCTGCTCCTGCTCCTGCTCCTACTCCTTCCCCCTCCTCGCCCTCCCTTCCCCAGGTCGCCTATAACCCTGGGGAAAAACCTTCCAGTCTAAAGTTTTGGCCCTGAGGGGTAGGGCTATGATGTTCCAACCGACTTTAGCCCTGATCACCAGAACGAACGCCGAGCGCCGAGAAAGTACCGAAATTTGAAGGTTATCACGTGTCGGGCCCTGGAAGGCGATGCTCGCACAATGGGGACAACATATGGATAGACACTTAAGGTTGCCCCGAGATCCTGGCGACCTCATCTTTTCGAGCCTGGCGTTCTCATTTTTTGTCCGGGCCCCTGGACCAAAAATAATGCAGAAAGATGAGATCCAGGGCTCGGGTCGTGATTTTTCGCGATGCTGCGATTTTTCTGACACGTCGGATCTCAGGGTCAGAAGTGATTCAAGGGTGGATTTGCACTGTTTCAGGCACCGCGTCCTCGGGACCCCCCTCCCTCAGGACCCCATCCTTGAACCTCCGGTGCCCGTGAGGCTCAGGCCCAGACCCAAGGGGAGAAAAAACAGTTCGGACCCGATAACTGGCGTTTACTAACGGCCCAGGGCGTTTAGTAAACAGCCCTGCCCTGTTCGATTCCTTCTTTGGGTGCGTTTACCAAACGGCCTCGCTTGCCGGGGTGTGTTAGTGTAGGGGTGGATTGGGCGCCGCGTAATGGGGGGGTCATAAATGGGGGGGCGGCGAGTGTGGCCCGAAAAGGTGCCCAAACGGTACCTAAACGAGCCCCCCGCGGCTCCGGAGGGGCCCGAAAGGGGCACGAAAGGGGACCCATTTGTGACCCCCCCATTTGTGACCCCCCCATGAAGCCACGCCCAAGTGGATGTTCTGCCCTCCACAGACATCGTCATGAAGCGGACGAGTCCTACGAGGGGTGCGGGCCCTGAGGTCTTTCACCGCCCTCGGGCTCCCACGGCCCGTGCAGGTCTCGAGCTGCCAGGGCCCTTCCAGGGCTCGGGCGGAAGCGTCAGACAACGACTCGGGGCGCGTCGGGCACGTCCCTCTACAGGAGGGATATTCAAAAACAGTCAAGGACGTAGTCCAGAAGCCGCATTAAAGTGACCATTTGTTTTTTGGCCCCCCCTCTGTCACAGAGGGGGTCTAAGATGCCCCCCCTCTGTCACAGAGGGGGTCTAAGATGCCCCCCCTCTGTCACGGAGGACCTCGTTCTGGGTGCTCTTCTGCACGTCCCTCTACAGGAGGGATATTCAAAAAACAGTCAAAGACGTAGTCTGGGCACGATTGTTCGTGCTCTGTTGCTTCTGTTTGGACTATCTTTGGGCTCGTTTGTTACCCAACAGCGAAGACTGATAGGTTTCTAGCGGTCTCAAAAGAGAGCATCATGACTCCCCAGGGGGGTCTGGGCAGATGCCGGACGGGTGCCCCGGGAATCCGGGGACTCCTTTTTTAGCCAACAGTAACGCACTTCGTGGTCTTCGAGTTTCCAGAACTCCATTCCTAGGATGATTTTGAATGTCCGGAGCCAACTGTAGGCCACTTCGTGTTCTTCGAGTTCCCAGAACTCCATTCTTAGGAATGATTTTGAATGCCCAGGGCCAATTGTAGGCCATTTCGTGGTCTTCGAGTTCCCAGAACTCCATTCCTGGGCATGATTTTGAATGTCCGGAGCCAGCTGTAGGCCACTTCGTGGTCTTCGGGTTCCCAGAACTCCATTCCAAGGCATGATTTTGAATGCCCGGAGCCAACTGTAGGCCACTTCGTGGTCTTCGAGCTCCCAGAACGCAGCCTGAGGCTGAGGCCGAGGATGAAGAAAGACTGAGGCTGAGGCTGAAGCAGGCTGAGGCTGAGGCTGAGGCACGCTGAGGCTGAGGCTGAGGCAGGCTGATGCTGAGGCAGGCTGAGGCTGAGGCTGAGGCTGATGCAGGCTGAGGCTGAGGCAGGCTGAGGCTGAGGGCGAGGCTGAAGGCAGACTGAGGCTGAGGCTGAGGCAGGCTGAGGCTGAGGCTGAGGCAGGCTGAGGCTGAGGCTGAGGCAGGCTGAGGCTGAGGCAGGCTGAGGCTGAGGCTGAGGCTGAAGCAGGCTGAGGCCTCAGGTCTGATAGAAGGCTGAGCTGAGGCTGAGGCAGGCTCGATGCTGAGGCTGAGGCAGGCTCGAGCTGAGGCGGCTGAGGCTGAGGCTGAGGCTGAGGCAAGGCTCAGCTGAGGCAGCTGAGGCGAGGGCCGAGGCTGCAGGCAGCTGAGGCTGAGGCTGAAGCAGGCTGAGCTGAGGCTGAGGCAGGCTGAGCTGAGGCTGAGGCTGAGGCTGAGGCAGGCTGAGGCTGAGGCAGGCTGAGGCTGAGGCCGAGGCTGAAGGCAGACTGAGGCTGAGGCTGAAGCAGGCTGAGGCTGAAGGCTGAGGCAGGCTGAGGCTGAGGCTAAGGCAGGCTGAGGCTGAGGATGAGGCAGGCTGATGCTGAGGCAGGCTGAGGAAGAGGAGTGGGTGATTGCAGGCTGAGGCTGAGGCACGCTGAGGATGAGGCTGAGGCTGAAGGCAGACTGAGGCTGAGGCTGAAGCAGGCTGAGGCTGAGGCTGAGGCTGAGGCAGGCTGAGGCTGAGGCTGAGGCAGGCTGAGGCTGAGGCTGAAGCACGCTGAGGATGAGGCTGAGGCAGGCTGAGGCTGAGGCTAAGGTTGGCTGAGGCTGAGGCTGAGGCAGGCTGATGCTGAGGCTGGAAGCAGGCTGAGGCTGATGCTGAGCAGGCTGAGCTGAGGATGAGGCTGAGGCAGGCTGATGCTGAGGCAGGCTGAGTGAGGCGAGGCTGATGCAGAAGACGAGGCTGAGGAGGCTGAGGCTGAGCAAGCTGGAGGCGAGGGCCGAGGCCAACGGCAGACTGAGGCTGAGTGAAGCAGGCTGAGGCTGAGGCAGAGGAGGCTGAGGTGAGGTCCGAGGCTGAGCTTAGGTGCTGCTGAGGCAGGCTGAGGCTGAGCTGAGGCAGGTGAGGATGAGGCAGGCTGATATGAGGCAGGCGTGAGGCTAGCTGGGCAGGCTGAGGCTGAGGCCGAGGCTGCAGGCAGACGGAGGCTGAGGCTGAAGCAGGCTGAGGCTGAGGCTGAGGCAGGCTGAGGCTGAGGCAGGCTGAGGCTGAGGCTGAGGCAGGCTGAGGCTGAGGCTGTGACTGCGACTGCCGTTGCCACTGCGACTGTCATCGCGAATGCGACTACGACTGCGAGAACAGCAGAATTCTACAACGGGATTCTCATCTGAATCTTAAGGGGAATGCTTCCAGATATGCTCCAACACCTCGCTGTTAGGTTGCCTTGCCGGGATAATCTGTTCTTCCAAAGCCCGCCTGTAGGAGGACATGCCCGACCCTCGACTCGGGGCGAGAAGCTGGTCCTGGGGAAGGCCCTGAGTTACATATTGTACACCTGAGGCGATGCTTAAGAAAACTTATTTTTTCGGTCAGAGTCTCGATTATTCTTAATGTTTCAATGTAAATCCTCATTTTTTAATAGAAATGTTGGGTTCTCATTCAAATTCTGAGACTATGAATTTCTTAACCCATGATTTCTTAAGCATTTCGCAGGGTGTATAGGTCCGCGTCGTGTCGACCGCCGGCGACCCCGCCCCCGGCGCTCCACTTCGAAAACGCCGCCGGCGACCCAAAAGCGGCCCATCGTGGAACGGTTCGGCGTTTCTCGGGCCGGGCGAAAGGGGGGGATTGGGAAAGGGGGGGTTACGAAATTTGCTGCATGCAGCTGGTTTCGGCCTCACCGAGGGGCCCATTCCTCGATACATGGCCGCCTCCGGCGCCGGGAGGCGCCGGGAAAATCAGCTCTCGTGAGCTGTTGGTGTGTTGGTTTTTGACGTTGTTGTGTTTGTTGTTTGTTTTTTTTGTTTTTTGTTTGTGTTGGTTTTGTTTATG